CTCCCAGACTGGATCAGGTGGGTTTCCTGCCATGTTTCATGTAAATAAAATGTAATAAAATATTGAATGGTCAGATTGGTATTTATATTGTTTACAAAAAATCCTTATGTAGTAGTAATTCTAATATGTTAAATATAGAAATCGCTAGAGTGTTTAAGTTAGATGTTGCAAAGAAAGAAGAATGAACAAAAACAAAACTTTAAAAGATGTGATTATTCATATTTTTTCTTACATTTTTCCTGCAGGAAAAACATTGGCTTATGGAATTCCAGTGGTTCAGTTCTTACAAGCGATGCAGCCTAAAGTGAAGGCAAGTCAGCCTAAATGTCTAAAACAACACACTCAATATCAAGACTTTACAGACTGATCACATAATCATTTTCGCTTTGTTTTACTCATTTATAGTTGGCTTAAAGTAGTACTTTTTTTTTTCATTTATATTTTTATTTTAAATGGTTGTCATTTATTGATTATGTGTGGAGAAATTGGGGTCATTGGCAGTCAAGACATTCAACATTGTATTGTATTATAATAAAAATTCAAATAAATTGATCAAATTAATTTTGAGTCAGAAGTAATGTTATTCATAAAATAGCTAACGCACCATTATGTGCATCAACTTTTGATGTCTTAAATTAAGTATAATATTTTTTTCAGAGATCAGATGGGCCTTTGGCTGTTTTGATTGTTCCAACCAGAGAGGTATTGTATTAAATGATAGAAAACCATCATCATTTTCTGATTTATCTTATAGCATATTCCACTTATATGTACCCTTTTTTATTTCCTTCCAACATGGATCTGTTTCCGGTTGTCCTTCAGCTTGCCCTGCAGAGCTTTCAGATGTTTCAGAAGCTTCTAAAAGTGAGGATTTGCACTTTTGCTAAATTATTGTTCTGTATTGACATAATTGAACCACTACATTTTCAATCTTTAAAAGTCACTCATTGTATTTATTCCTTTCAGCCTTTCACCTGGATTGTGCCTGGAGTTCTGATGGGAGGAGAGAAAAGAAAAGCAGAAAAAGCCAGGTTAACAGCACACACAGCCACACAAAATACATACATCTACTGCAAGTGGATTGAATGAGATTTCTGGTGATTATTCAAATGTAAAAGTATTGTATCCTGCATTACAGATCCATTTCGAATAGATTACAGAATCACTGCAAATACACTATAGTTTATCAGCTTGGAGTCGGTAAAACTTTTTTTTTAAGAAATGTATTCAGCAAAGATGCATTAAATTGATCAAAAGTGACCGCAGAGACATTTAGAATTTTATAAAACATTTCTATTTCAGATAAATATTGTTCTTTAACTTTAGATTCATCAAAGAACCCTGAAAACAAATGTCAGTTTCTGGAGTAATGGCTGCTGAAACTTCAATTTGTCATATCAGGAATAAATAACATTTTGAAACGTACTTAAATAGAAACAGTTATTTTAAATTGTAATGTTTTTACTGTATTTTTGATCAAATAAATGCAGCCTTGTTGAGTGTAAGAGACTTCTGTCAGAAATATTAAAATCTTACCAACTACCAACAGTAGTGTATAGTTCATTCCGCAATATCACTTCAGTCTGCATTGTGTCTTGCTGAGTTTCCCTATGTTTTTGCTGGTCTTTGTCTTGAATTCAGACTGAGGAAGGGCATTAATGTTCTGATCTCGACTCCAGGCCGACTGGTGGACCACATAAAGAACACTCTAAGTATTGCTTTCAGCGCTGTGCGCTGGCTCATTCTGGATGAAGCCGACAGGTCAGTTTGTTTGCTGATTTGAGACATTTTTAAAAAGGTCTCTCCGGGAAAAATTTTAGAATTATCATTAATTAAAATGAAAGATTC